CAGCCAACCCAGTGCGCCCAGCCATGACCAAAACGGTTCTCTGGAGCCTTCGCTGGACCACAGAGACACAGCAACAGCAACAGCAGCAGCACATGAAAGGCCAGCCAAGAGATGCAGGACGGAGGCAGAGCCACTGGGCCAAAGTGAGGTGGAACCATCCAGAACGCAGGAGAACTGAAGGATACAGAGTTCAGTGATGTAGACTTTTAATAGACGCTGAATTAGGGGGGGAAATTGTCCCCACTGCTCCATCTCTGGGCAGAGCTGAGGGGTTAAGAGCTTGAGAAAAGAGCCCCTCATGGCCCATGAGCGCAGTATCTCTTGAGAGCAAAGACTCCTTGATAAGGTCACTGAAAGTCACACCTTGAAGAACACAGCCAACCAAACTGCAGCTGGTCCTCCAGGAGAGGCAGTGGCCACTCCGTCTCCCCCGTCCCTCGGACCCATCCATGTACTGACCGCCTGCTGAGCTCATCCCAAAGCACCACAGCTCCATCCTCTCCTACAAAACTTCTTCTACCCATCGTCTTTATTCCCTTTTTGGAGACTGACTGACAAAATTTTTGCCAAGAATTTCATTTTTTTTTCTATTTGTACTAAAAGAAATCACCTGTGATATTTTTTTACACAAGAGATATTTATATTTTTTAACAAAAGAAAACTATGATAGGTGACTGCTGTTCAAGCGATTTGAACATTTGGTGAAACGAGGAACGCATTTTAAACGATGATGTGCTTAAGTTGTCAAAAAGAGGCAAAGTAGGCAAACACAAGATGAGTAATGCTGCGTTCACTTGGAGTCAGGCAGGACGGTAGACGGCAAATTGGATATTGTTTTTGTGGGTGAGGGCAGGATGGGAAAATGAGTTGGGTCCAGCCAAGAATGCCTGTAAGGAGAGACTTAACTCATTGCTGTCTTTTGCCGTAACATAGCTCCTTCACACACACACAGAAAATCTGAAGAATCACTGGACATTACAAGGAAAATAACATAACATAATGAACACAAAATAATTTAAAGGTTCTGTATGTAACTTTTAGAAAATCCTTTTTATTAGCGAGACTTCTCTCTGATGCTGTTGCTTGCGCTCCGGTGCTCATACTCTGTAGCTGCGAGCGAGCACCTGGGCATCGGCCAAAGTAAGACATTGATTGTGATGATAGAAGGCACGGAAAATCATACTAAGAATAATGTTACTATGCAATAAAATATATTTTATTTGGACCATTTGCTCCATGATACCAAATATTTTACAGTTTGCAAATCACATTAGCATAGCAAAGTTACAGCTAACATTAGCTCAGGTTAGAGTTAGCTTGTTGGCCACAACTGCATTGCTCTTGGCTAGCAGAAAGCACTTTGTATCATTATGTCTTTTACTGTTGGCTAAATCAACACCAATATGCATAAGTTAGTAGCATGTATCACGTTAGCTGGGGAAGTAATTTGGCAAACTATCCACTTAACAAATCCACTCAGTATTTTGCTAACGATAACATTTAAGTTAAGCTAACGTTAACCAGCTAAGCTACTCTGCTGTCAATTAAATGGCAAGTGAGTCAAGTTACCAGCCAGATCAGCCATGGCGTCTGGATTAAATAAATAATGCTTATTACACAAGACTTGATGGCAGCTCAGACGTTAGCGACTGTAGCAACTTGAATTCAGCCAGCACAAACCCCGGTCCTGGGGTTCACAGTGGGCAGGTGGCCAGCAGCAGCAACAAACTGTGCTTATCCGGCAAGGACCCGGGACTGGACCCCTGGCACTCAGGCACTCTGTCTTGCTCGGGCTGTATTCAAGAAGCTAAGTGAAGGTCTGTCTGTCTCTGGGCCGCTGCTAAATGTATGTAACGAAAACAGCATGTGTGGACTCTTTGGTGGACTCCATTTCTTAGCTTACGTTAGCTAGTGTCGCACACTGTTAGCGCTATAGCAGACCTGAAGTGAGGCAAGGCACTTGGGAATGCACGTAACGCCTTAACCTTTGGATTTCTGGGGCAAATTTCAGCCTGAGTCCTTGACGTAGAAGTTAGTCCACAGGCTGCTCGAGGCAACCAAGAAAAGTCACGCTACAAACTGTTCACCCATCGGCAATAAAAAATGATTTATACTACTATAAAGTTGCATACAGAACCATTTTCTTCCATTCTTTATAAACAATATAGTGTCACTATCGCAACATATCATCATGCATGTTTTGTTTTACTGCCACTTTCCCGTGCCATCCAGAAGGTGTTGGTCTGCCCTCTACCGTCAGCCTGATCCCATGTGATGGCAGCATACAGCTGGTGCTGTCGCTCTGTAGTTGCACTTTGATTGTATGTTCCTCATCTTCACTGATAAGGAGCGGTGTCGAAACCCAGCAGAAATACATTTTTCACTCCTCTTCTGAACCCGGCCTCTATCATGGCTGTTTGTTGAATCCTGATAAATAAACCAATGGGTTCGTCCCCCCGCGGGTTTGTTTGTGTAAAGCAGCTGACATCAGTGATGTCCTGTATTATAACTCATCATGTAGAAGATCGCTGTATTTTTGGATTTTCATAGTCAGTGCTTTGCTCGACGCTTTGTTTTTACTAGACAGAATGTCCGTGATTTTTAATGTAAAGTTTGTATAGATTTCTTACCTTGAGCAGTTGGTACATTTTTTTATAACTGTCTGTTCATCTCTGTACGTTCCGGTCTTCCTCGTAGGCTGTTGCTTTTTGTTGAGGAAATCTTTGGCCTGTGTTGCTCTGAGGTGGATGTAATGAAAACAGTAGCCATTCCTTTTTCCCTCTCTGTTTGGCAGCACTTCCCATTCCTGTGTGACCTTGCACAATCTGAAATGTTTGTTACATCTTTTGTGCATAGAAAAAGCCCCACATTGTGGTTGAGTGTGCTGCTTGCCTTTGTTTTGAAACCTCTGCTTACTCACAGTGCTCGGTTTGAACCGATATTTCCTGTCGTTCCTCGGTCAGTGGCTTCAGAGTTCAGAGCAGTGGATTTCCAGCATTGAAACAGCCCCAGGTCGACACGAGGGTGTGACCTGGAAGACCTTAATTTGTTTTGGTACAGTAGCTGTTCAGCTTGATGCTTACGCGTTTTACTTTGTACTCCAGCTTTGAACTTACATTCACAAATTAAAATAAGTTTGTCTCAGATAATGTTGATCCATGTAGTCCTTTCTTTCCCTTTGTTGACAATGATGTCTTTTTTTCTTTTTTTTTTCCTCTGTAAATGACGACATGAATAAAAACGAAGTGTATTCCAAGACTGGCTATGGATGGAATAACATTGGCTATATTTAATAAATGTATTAATAAGTCTGTGTTGTTGTGAGTTTTCAAACACAAGCTCGAGCTTCACAGCTTGATCCAAAGATGATTTAATTTCTTTTTCTGTCTGTAATAAATATTTATTATTATTAACGCTCTTAATACTGTTCGAGGCAACCCCCTCCTAATTTGACTACACTGTAAGAAATAAACTGAATTCATAGTCCGTGTTCTTTAAAGTGAAGTTCAACTGACACTTATATCAGGGTTAAAGGGACAGTTCTCACTAAAATCAGAAATACATATTTTTCCTCTTACCCGTAGTGCTGTTTATCAGTCTATATTGTTTAAGTGTGAGTTGCTGAGTGTTGGAGATATCAGCCGTAGAGATGTCTGCCTTCTCTCTAATACAATGGAAATTGATGGCACTCGGCTTGTGGTGCTCAAAGTGCCAAAAAAAACATTTGAAAAACTCAACATCAATGTCTCTTTCCAGAAATCATGACCTGGTTACTCAAGATAATCCACAGACCTTGTTTTGAGCAGCTTCATGTAGGAACTATTTTCTTTCTATTGAACTGCACCTACCAACCGCATCATTGTGCAGAAGGAAGAGTGCATCTACTGCTAAATTTCCTAGCAGCAATGAGCAAGCTAAAATTACAGCTCAGCCAAGGAGGACACCATTAATGTTTACATCTTGCGCTGTCATGAGTACAAACCTCTCGCCTACGAGTAGATTTAATGTGTAGGCTGAAGCCTTAGCTTGTTTCACCTAACTTTTGCAATAATTTTGTACTGTCCTCTTTAGATGTAATGGCAACAGTATGAGATTTTCACGGCATGATAACCGTCTCAGAAAATACCACGGTTTCACAGAATTAGGATATTACAGAATTAATATTATCAGTCAGAATGACCCTTTATGGAATGAAAACAGAAGGGTTCTTGTTGGCTAAACAAAAGTTTTATTACTGTAATTAACACTTGAGACCATTTTGTTAATAAAAATAAAAAGTCTCTCCTTTGAAAATCAATCAAATAAAGGGGAGATTCAATGTCCAGTTGCTTTTTTTTTTCCAGTATCGTAAATAAGCAAATGTACACAGTATGATAACTGTAAACTTTTATATGACGGTATACCTTGAAACCCTAGTCCCACACAAAAAAACTCATACACACTCTGGTGATCATAACTCTGTTTGATATTTGTTAGTCATCGTATTTAATTTATCAAGTGTTTTACACATTTCCAATTCCTTTTCAAAACCATAAGTTTGGAAGATGACTTTTAGCTTGGCTGAATTTGGGAATTAATGTTTGTGTTCGGAAAGGATCAATTTAAAGGTCTCGTGTGTAGGATTTAGTGGCCTCTAGTGGTGAGGTTGCAGATTGCAACCAAGTGAAACCTCACGATGCTGAGAACTACGGTGTCCGACATGAAAACGCCAAATCAGGAATGGGCTGATCTAGGTGCCAGTATTTGGTTTGTCCATTCTGGGCTACTGCAGAACAACAAACGACTCATTCTAAGTGCACAAAAACACAATGATTCTCATTTTCAGGTGAATATGAACTAACACAAACATTTTAATTCCATTTTCTGCCAATATGTCCACCTAAATCCTACAAACTGGACCTTTAAAGCACCAGTGTGGAGAAAGGGGAATGATTAGAGTGACCAATAACTAAAAGAGACTAAAAAGAGAATAACGAAATGACGAAAATTTAAATCTATTCTTTAATTTTATTGATTTGTCATATATAAAAATGCTCATGACTTTGTCTTTAATCAGTGAAATATAATTATAAAAATAAGGCACTTGATCTTATTTAAAAATATAAAATTTGCTAAAAGTGGTGTAGTTAATTTGATAAAAATGGCATTTCACAATTAAGTAAAAATGTGCTGACATTATACAAAAACATACACAGTAAAAAACAAAACAGACGTCTCCACATATATCACACAGACAACATGACGTGTTGTGGACGTACGTCGTTCTTCAGTGTTGGCTCAGGTCTCCGTGGTTTACGCCTTCTCTGTCAAATGAAATTGAAAACTTTAGAGAAACCAGCAGCATGTTCAGTTTGTGCATACGCTACAGCTTTTTAATTTTAGGGAGGTTTTTATTCTTGTTATTTGACCCGTTCTTACTTGTATGCTCCTGTGTGAAGGTGATGTAGGAGTACACCAGGCTGCCTGCAATGCTGCGGGTAACAAAGACGATATAATATGTCCACAGACACAAAACAGCAGCTCCACAACAGCATAATTTAAACCATGTGTGTCTTACCTGATGTTTAGACCTATAAAGTTAGTCCATGTAAAAATGTAGTCTCCTCCAAACACCATTCCAACGTAGGTCACCAGGATATTCTGCAGGAGTCACAGACAGCGTCACCACACACGTCTGCGTTCATGAATCTCATCAGTCAACAAAGCAGGAGCAGCGTGACATCACGTACCTTGATACAGCCAACGATGGAGGTGGTGAGCGCTGAGTTGTACTGCGTGCTCAGCATGATGGAGTACATTAAGATGAAGCTGTGCAACACATCGAAGAGGAATCAGAGACAAGCAGCCATGTGGGATATTATCTATGAACATATGATGGATGTAGAGTTTACCCCATGACACAGGAGAGAACAAACTGCACGACAAACAGCTGATTAGACCATCCATTAAACTCCAGCCCCTGTACTCAAACACACACACACAGGAGGTTCCCAACTCAAGTTACTGAACGCTACATTATAAACATTAAAGGGTAGCTTTGTTTTTTTCAACCTGGACCCAATTTTCCTGTGTTTTTGTGTCTGAGTGAGTAATGGGAAAGACAATTCTTTAAACTGCTCCTGGACGTGTAAAAAATAGAGCAGACGCAGAAACTATTGCTGCAGATCTCGAGCCAACCAGGGCAACTGACCCTTCGCTAAGTCCCGCCTCTGGGCGCAGACTGACCAATCATGATGTAGCATTGGGCCAGCCGAGACCAGTGTTCGACAATGACACAGCTTTAATGCAATCATTTCAGATTTCCTTCATTTTCAGGCTGGTTTTGTGGATTTGGAGCTAAATGTTGTGCCTGGGGTACGTCGTGTATTAATGATATTCGTTACCTGGAGAGGTTGGAAAAAGATATACGTTTCTTCCCTGTTCCAAAACCAGAATCAAACCCTGGAAAGTGTAGGGTTAGCTCGCTAGCTACTGAAGATATAGCCTACTGAATGTATACACATGAAGCAGGGAAACTTTGCTGATATTCAACCAGCTGTGTGTCATCGCAGTGTGTGCAGATAAACATTGTTTGACTTCCCCACACAGCTGGTTCAATATCAGCAAAGTTTGCCTTTATATTCATTGTCTTGTGTGGCGATCAGCAGTGATGTGGTGGTTCACTTTTACACTGTGATCTGTAGCCTATAGTTCGGCTTTAGCTTCTAACTATCTTTGTCTTTTTAACCTGTTGTTGCTGCTGAGTCAGTTTGACATCCTGGATATATCCTTCAAACACAGACTGTAGACCCCTCTGTCTGCTTCTCTCTGGAATCCCTCTTTCATTTTCCCAAAAATGTGATCATATTTCTTCAGGGAGTGCAGTTAGACACAAAAACATGGAAAATGGGGTCCAGGTTGAAAAGTTACCCTTTAATATAAATATATAAAATACATGAATATATCTGTGTTGAAGTATTCCTTACCACTTGCAGGTCCCCTGAATAGTACGCGTACGCCACAGTGGGGAAAATCATGATTAAAGCATTGTAGTAGAGGAGCCCATATTTGCCCAGCTCCTGTGAAAACAACAGTGTACAGTACAATCCTTTCAGAAACGATGCAGCAAAGCAGCATCACATACAGGAGGTCATATGATCGGCAGCTCACCCTGGACTCAAGTTTCTGCTTCACATACGCCCCGCTGGCCGCCGTCAGGACATTATTCAGCATTATGAATACGTACCCTACAAGGTCGAACGCTAAATCATCGCTACAGAACACAAAACACGTCAAAGAATGAGACACGTGAGCAGGATAATGTCAGTGTGCATGTGTGTGACCATCTCACCTGGCAGCAATAAAAGCACCAAAGATCATAGTGAACACTGTGATCTTAACCGACGCAGAGAAAGTCTTCCTGCAAGGAGAGGAAACAGGTCGCAGGTATTAAAATCAGTCACCTGCAGGTGCAGGAACAGTCTCTGTGCATTGTGCTTACTTCAGCAGGAGTCCCTCAAACACCATGGTGAGCAGAATACTGAACCTCCTCAGCACTGTGAACATGGGTAAACTAGAGGAAAGGAAAACATGATATATTTAGCTGTTTCATTTTAAGACAACTCATTGTAATGTTAATGAACAGAAGCTCTAACTTGAGTCGCTGCGTCCCAAACAGCCCTGATATCTGATTCCCGACGTACAGCAGAGGCAGCGGAAACATCTGGAAAGATACAAACAAAAGCTGTAGTTTTGATCTTCTTATTGTCGTGTGTTTCAGAGAGAATTACCTCACAGTCTCACCTTGTGTGGTATACTCAGATCCACGTCTGGAAACGAGATGACACCCAGTGCCTTCCCGGTCCTTAGAACTACGATCGTAGCCAACATCTGCAGAGTCATTGAGGCGAGGAGACAAAGTGTATGAGGGTCTGTTTAGATGAACAAGAAGTATCTGTGACCCAACTGAAGACGGACTTACCTGGCCGATTCCTACACATGTTGACGATGGAAATCTGTAGACAATGATATGAATGAGGAAAATGACTCGGTCATGTGAATATCCAAGTTCTCACCCTCTGGTCACAGACTCAGTAAAGGTAGTTGCACAGTAATATCTAATGTTAACAAAAGTTCAGCTTCTATTAGCTGTTTGTCATACCAATAAAACTGCAAGAATGAATCCATTTATTAGTTTGCCTTCATTTCAATCAAGATTAATAAAGTATTCACAGAAAATGAAGTAATAAAGTATATATATCTAGCTATCTAGTTGAAAACTATTAAATAATAGCTTAAATAAATGAATTAAAAATTGTGTATGCATAAATAAATCAATCACAAATTAAATGAGACATTAAATATATATAAATGTAAGATGTATTTGTGTGATTATATATTTATTTACACAGTTGTTATTGCTAATTTTGCTTAAGTAAAAGGCCTGAGTTTGTCTTCCACCACGGGTCTGGGTGCTTCTACGGAGGATGAAAAAGGACTTAGGTATCAATAAAGAAATAAATGTATGAATAAATATAGGTCTAAATAAATATATATGGAAATAAATAAATAAATTTGTAAATACATACAAGAAAATATGAATACATTTGGAAACATATAAATAAATATGTTCATAAATATATATAAAAAAATAGATAATGTATAAATAAATCTTGAAATAAATAGAAAACTATTAAATTAATTTGCTAACCAATTTGACAATCGACTTATCAGTTTGAGTAATAAAAAAAATAAAAGAAAATAAAAACCAGAGTCAAAATTCTGATTCCAGCTTCTTAAATGTGAATATTTTCTGGTTTCTTTACTCTCTGACAGAACAATAAAAAAAATCTTTGGGTTGTGGCATTTGACATTTGAGGATGTCACTTTTAGGACGTAAGGATGTTTGGAAACAATGATTTTCTGGAGGAAAAATACATAGTTTAGTTGGTGGCTTGTCAGACCCTGTAGATGATCAGGTGTGTTTGGGCTCATGTGGCTTCAGTGTTTCTACATTTCTAAACTGTCTGCTCTAAACAAACTGAGGAAGACAACTTAAAGGATGAAGAGAGTCTAACCCTGCTGGCAGTTTATCTCCTCCATACTTCATATCCCTTCTGCTGTCACTGCTCTCATACAGGAGAGTGAAGCTTCCTCCTGACTGCTGCTCGTACTCTGCACCTTTACCTGTAGCTGCTGAGGACGCTTTTGTTGACGACAACGATGAGGAATGAACTGACTCCGTAAAACGCCGCAGCCAACAGTTTCACGTACACCGCGGAGCTGTCACCGGATGTGGCTGGGTTGGGTGTGGGAGACGCTCCTGCAGGTGACAACTTTCTGTCGCCGAGCTCAGGTCGACGCTTGTGGAGCTCTGCCATCGTTTACGTAGGGAGTGTTGGTGGAGTTCAAACGGAAGCCCACAAGTCTCACTGCGCATGCGCACAACAGTCTGCGATGACGGAAGCGGAAAGAAGTGATGGTGATGATTTCAGTGTCAATAAACGAATAAATGTATGAATAAATACAGGACTACATCAGTAAATATGGAAATAAATAAAATAAATACAGGAAAATATAAATAAATATGGAAGTTAAAAATCAAATGACTGAATGTGTAAATAAATATAGACAAATAAATAAATAAAGAATTTATTAAAGGAATAAATGGATACATAAATGTTGAAATGAATACGGAAATAAATGGAAAAGTACATAAATAAATAAATAGATGTTGATGATTTAACAGGACATAAAAAAGTAAATATCCTCAAAACCATCTCTACACTACATTTATCAGTTTCTGTTTTTCTGTGTCTGTATGTTTACACTGTCCTAACCTCTTCAATAATTCATTTATTAATGGTTTCATTTCTTTATTTTCATATTTATGATAGCTTATATATAACAGCTTCATCCCTCAGGCCGTAACACTATTGAACTCTGAGCTCTAATCTCATCACTCTGGTCTTTGTCACTTTATATTTCATGTTACTTTACCTTTGTTCAAACCAAACTGTTTGGACCCGTGATTGAACATATTCATGTACAGTCTTGCCAGGCATACATTTTACCACATCACATCACTTTTACATTTTGTGTATTCATGCAACTGTTTTAGGCCTATATCCCTCACTTCATATTTTATTAATGTTATTTTTTTTAACATGCACTACTTCATGTCCTTATAGTCAATCTCTCTTTTCATTTATAACAACAATACTATTACTACGACTACTACTTCTAATAATGATAATAATAATAATAATTATATAGATACACTTATTTGCATTGTTGTCTAATCCAAATTTATCAATGGCAACAACTGCTTTTGTAATTCGTGCTCATTTGACAAATAAATTCATAATAATAAATAAGTCAATAATATCCTTGAACCTTGATTTTTTAGCACATTTTTATTCGTGTATTTATGTATTTATATATGCATTTATTACTATTTTTTTTAATCATGTATACATGCATTTAGATACTCATCTCTGTATTTATTGCTAAATGTATTTATACATGTATTTATATATTTATTTATCCATACATGTACTTTTATACATATTTATGTGTTAATTACTAAATTTATTTATTTATTTACACATTATATTTATATATGTATTTATTACTAAATGTATTTATTTATAAATGTATTTATATACGAATTTATGTAATAATTACTAAATTTATTTATTAATACTTTTGTCATTTTCTGTCCTCCACATTCTTCTTCCACCACTAACTTATTTCACACAGTTATTTCCTACCGACACTTTCAATCGTTGCGCTCTTTCATCATTTTGGCCCTCCTCGCTGTCCGTAGTGGAAGCTGATTGGCCAGCTGTTTGTTGACATCCAATCACACCACGCAGCGGCTCGTGCACATAGGCTGACGTTGTACAGAGGAGTCGGACGATGGGCTGCACCGGTCAGAGAGCTTCATATCAGTTGTGTAAAACTGTATCTTAGTCCCGTTGTCAGCTCCAGAAGCTCCGAGTTCCGGTCAGACATGAAGAGAGTTGTTCTTGTTACCGGCGCCAACAGGTGGGTCCACTAAAACTGCGTCACTGTCACGAGGATTAGACACTCGTTTGTCATGTTACAAACCTGTCACGAGCTTGTAAACACTAAAAATGTGTGTTAATTTGGCTGCAGAGACATTGTAGCGTCACTGAGGGAGAGCATCTCTCCTGCTGAGAGATTAACTGCTTCAAATCTGTGATAATCTGACTGTAAAGCTTCCAGTCTGTAATAATGCCTCATGTATGTTCATCAGACACATACAAATAATACATAGGCTATATAAACAATACGATTAAGACATCACAGAAAAGCCAAAAGCAACATGTACAGCAAAATATATTAGTCAGTCAGTATTTTAGGTTCTTATTATCCACGTGCATTGTGAAATTAACTTTGTTAGACTGCAAACAAATGTTTCTAATCTGCCTTTATTATTTCTTCTCCAATTTTACTAATTGATAAATAGTTCTCTGTATGAACCAGCTGCAGTAAATCAGTGTGATCACACAGTTTCTGAGGGAAGTTTGTGTTTGTCTGCCATCTGTCCCTCTCTGCAGCGGCATCGGCCTGGCACTGTGTGAGAGGCTGCTGACTGAGGACAGCCAGCTTCACCTGTGTCTGGCCTGCAGGAACATGCAGAGGGCCGAGGCTGCCCGCTCTGCCCTCCTGACCTCTCACACCGACGCCCAGGTGGACTTACTGCACCTTGATGTGGGCTCTGTGCAGTCAGTGCTCACCGCTGCTAAGGAGATCAAGGACAGGTACTGAGGATATGGTGACATCATGATGCTATTGACATACCTGTTCTCACATGATCTATGAATATGGAATTGAGATTGATCAATGCACGTCTGTGTTTTTCCACAGGTACAACAGAATCGACTTTCTGTATCTAAATGCAGGAATCATGCCCAATCCACAGGTGGATGTCAAAGCTTTTTTCAAGGGTCTGTTCTCCAGGTAAAATCCTAAAGCCAGTTCCTCACTTGCTTTGCTTTGTGTCTTTACCTGCTGTGAGAGTGGGATGTGTGTTTTCACCTTGTAAGTCTGTGTGTGTGTCATCATGACAAAATGTGGTCCTGGAGACACCTGTTGCAGCAGGAACCACCACAAAAGCCATTTGGGTAATTTGCCAGGTGTATATAAGTCTGTCTGTGGACAGATTTTGTCAGTGTGATGGCATCACAACTGCTCAAGACGCTATCCTGAAACTTTACAGGTGTAGAAGGGCTGTTCAACTATGGCAAATATCATAATCAAGATTATTTTGGTCAACAATGAGATCACGTTTTATAACAGGATTAATCACTGGCTTTGGAAACATCACTTGTTTATTGAACTTTAAAAGATAAACTCTTTAACTGGGGGCTTTCTTGTATTTAAAACATAATTAAACTGTCTCATTGGTCTCAATTCTTATTGTTAAAGCAATTAAATACTGAGGTATTGAAAAATAATAAGACAAAGTCATAAGACTCTGACCTGTTGATCATTCCTGAACTGCAGCTTGCAGTCGTTTGTACAGTGCAGGCATAATGAACTGACTAAAATGCACAAGTGAAAGCACATTGTAGCATGGCTCAAGCACCACATGCTTTAATTTGGTATTCTCTAAGTATACAGGAGCAGTGTTTACAGAACTAGTTATTATTTTGGTACAGTTTGAATCTGCAGCAAGGATGCCTGAACGCTTTGGGGAGAAGGACTCGCCTTCCAGTCTGTTTTTGTCTCGTTCCACCACTTGACACCTTCAGGTGATGCCACTGTAAATGAAATGTTCGCAGCCATCCTGAGAACTCCACCTTGTATCGTAATAAGAGGTCAACAGGCTGCACCTACAGCATTTACGGTGACAGGAGGTTATCAGAGGGTCTGAAAAGTCACTAAAAAAGTTCACAATGAAGGCTGAGTTGGAAGATAGGTGTGGTACAAGCAAGGGCGCCAGAAGTAGTAGGGTAGGAAGTAGGGAAAGGTCCGTTGGCCCCTCCATTTATGCCCCTGGTCCACTTTTATTTTAAGCTTCTTTAGTGGTGCAGTGGGAGTTGATGAGGTGGGTGTACTACTAGACAGATGGGTAGCTTTCTGAGAATGAAGTGGGTTTACTCTCCTATGTATTCTAGTGGCTTTTTCGGCTGATAGGTGGGTAAACTGTATACCTGCGTATACCCTCCACAACACCACTGAGCTTCTTGATGGCTGTGTACGAGTGCAGCCTGTCTATTGTCCGTGCTGTTATGTAATCTTGTACCCTGTCACTGCAGGAATGTCATCAACATGTTTGCGACAGCAGAGGGTCTCTTGACTCAACAGGACCGCCTCAACTCAGACGGTCTGCAGGAAGTTTTTGCCACCAACCTCTTCGGCCATTTCCTCCTGGTACACAACACACTGCACACATACATGTAGTCCTCAGTATATAGTATGATAATGCAGCTGGATTTATGGCAGATAGATTCTTTAAAACTCAAGCTATTAGGATTGATAATATGGGTAAAATCTGCTATCACTGTGTCCATGATGTTTTGTTGTGAAAGAAAGAAATATTGTGGCACAGTATATGTCATGAAAAAACAGTTGAGGAACCTGTTCTGTTTTTGACTATGGCAGTGAGTTGATTACCCAATAAATGACGCTGATACAAAAGTCATGTCGCTGATGTCTCTAGTCTCTGTGGTCCAGATCAGGGAGCTGGAGCCTCTGCTGTGTTCGGCATACCACACTTCCAGGATAGTGTGGACCTCCTCGAGTAACGCCCGCCGCTCCGCCTTCAGCATCGAGGACATGCAGCACAGAAATGGGACGGAGCCCTACAGCTCCTCCAAGTACGCATCAGACATGCTGAGCGTGGCACTCAACAGACATAAGAACAGCCAGGTTTGTAAGCAGTGTCCTGTCCTCTGATTGTGTGGAGGGTTTGTCATATGAAGGGTGTTGCTCCAAATCAGTTCCTGGGGAGTGGAAGTATGAAAAAATGTTGTGTGTTATGCGTATAAAATGTGGAGCGTCCTCTACAACTGTGACTTAATGCTTAGTATCTATCGGGGTTTGGCCGGTGTAAAGATTTTCAAACCGGTTTGATATTAAGCCAGACTGGACCAGGCCATTATGCCGAATTTCACCACTAGGTGTCGCCCTTGCTCCTGAGTTAAACATAATGACAACGTGTCCTAACAGCAAATGACCGAAACATGGAACCTTTCTGTCCGCACCGAATCCATTAAATGTGCACTCTTATTCCATGTAAACAAACTTCAGATCAGATGTGTAGGTAGCCTACTTGCTGTCCTTCTACATTTGTACTCTTGAAACAGAAATCTTTTTTTTATTGTGATATTCACTGGAAATGACTTTAAGTATAGCCAACAGCAAGTAGGTTGTTATTTTATTGATGGTCATTTATGATAGACGTTCAGCTCTCTGGCGATCTACCTCCAGCTGTCTTCCACCTTATTTAGGTTTTTGTATAGAAACAGGAAGTTATCATGTAGATAATTTCTCATTTTAACTTCATGAATCAACTGTTCCACCTCTTGCGGTGCTTTCAAAGTGAGCATCAGGAATATAGAAACATATACTCATGGACAAAAGGCTCATGCTTGTGACAGCGCACATTAAAGACAAGACATGAAACTGCTCACAACAAGGTCTGTGGATTATCTTCAGTAACCGGGTCATGATTCCTGGAAAGAGACATTGCTTTTTTTGGTGCTTTGAGCACCACAAGCTGAGTGCCATCTAGTTCCATTATATTGGAGAGAAGGCAGACATCTCTATGGCTGATATCTCCAACACTCGGCAACTCACACCAAAACAATCTAGATTGATAAATAGCACTACAGGTGAGAGCAGTAATATGTATCTTTGATTTTGGGAGTTAACTGTCCCTTTAATCATTAATTTGTTATGTGGAATTGATGTTTTCTTCTCTTTGTGACAGGGGCTGTTCTCCTCTGTAATATGTCCTGGACTGGTGATGACTAATCTGACCTATGGTATCCTCCCCTCCTTCTTCTGGACCCTCATCATGCCCATCATGTGGCTGGTGAGTGATGATGTTTTTTTCTGCTAATCTCTGTTAAACATGATTGCAGTTACGTACGAACTGTCTCATGGTATCATGATATCTTAACTTTTTGTGTTGAACAGATAAGGATCTTCACCAACACGTTCACACTCACACCGTACAACGGAGCAGAGGCGCTGGTATGCTGTCCACCTGTCCTGTTGCTGTCCATATGAACATACGTCACATTACATATTGTCAGTGAACATACTATAAACCTAAAGTCCTTCTCTGGCTTCTCACAGCACTGGTTGTTTCTTCAAAAGCCTGAGTCTCTGGATCTGAGAGCAAAATATCACAGTTTAACATCAGGACTTGGAACAAATTACACTCAGCCTCGACAGGTGAGTAACCAGAGACCACGGCTTCCACAGACATTATACTGCTCAAGCCTGCTCTGTGTGAACCTCTGATAACCTGAATCTTAGCATTGCACTTGTTAAAATATTCATGAGAGAGACTGGGATCAGTTCAGATGCTTTTTATAGAATACCAAGCAGGAAACCTCAAAAAGTTTTAAAGGGGCTCTATGAGAAATTCAGAGCGTATGAGCTGTCTGGACACGATTTTTAAAATAGTGGTGGCTGAGCCGGCAGCTAGGGTTGCCACATTTGATTTGTGAAACACCAGGACATTTGACATGCGACGCAGGACGTTAGATCATATTTGCAAATATAATATGTTAATAGTTGTAGGACTCCCTGTTGTCCCTCTTACCTCTCTTTGTCCTGACATGCAGCCAATCTAATAACACACCATTTATAGATACAAGCTTCACGAACTACACCTGACCATTTACTGAAGTAATAAGAAAAGTTATTAGTGTAAGAGTAACATGAGTATGCTGGGTTTATACCTTGTTCATGATAAAAAAAAAACAGGAGCGCATAATCTCCATTCAGTCTTTAATGGGTTAAAGGGACTGGTTGCTATGGACACAGATGTACAGACTGAGTACATCAGTGGCTGGAAAATAATTGATCACTGATAATAAAGCTGAAAAACGTACAGAAACCATATGTACCGTTTTGTCAAGTCGTTTCAGAGTGATTCAGGATTTTGATGCATGTGGTGATTTGTCAAAACTGACGTTCGACATCGTAATCATCCCAACAGCGTCGCAAAATGCGAGAGTACCCGAACTGCGACATCCAATCAGGGGCTTTTAAAACAAAATAATCTCTGCACTCCCATGTGTCAGTTATAAAGTGTAAAGCTCTGACGGTACAGCAGGGACTACCCATGGGTGCAGATCTGATGACAAGTTTGGGGGGGGACACAATCAGTTGTGATTTTTTTTTTTAATTGCGCACGTGCAAATCATGCCGACAGAGCGCTTGAGATTGCCAGCATATTTCACAATTTCACAGAGGCTCATCATCATCACCAAGTCATTCAAAAAGCACTACAAAGAGAATCATATGCTTAACTTTACTGTTTATTTCTCTTAAACAGCCAGTAATACATGGAACCAGCCATCACCCTCCTTTTCACTGCTTCGCTGTTAGTTAATGCTACTTCTAGTTTCAGGGTCTCAGGCATGTTATGTCCACTCACGTTCTCATCTCTCGCCTCTCACGGATTCCCATTTCTCCTCATCATCTTCCCTTGTTCCCAGTATATAGGGACTACTGTATACATTTGTTCAATTTCAATCATTTAAGCTATTTAGAATTGGGGGGGACAATTTGTGTTTTTCAGAATTTGGGGGGGACATGTCCCCCCCCGTCCCCCCCGGGATCTGCACCCATGGGAATACCGTAGCCACAAAATAATGTGAGATGACTGGATAGCCTCCCTAAGATAGTGACAGCCCGTGCAACAGTTGCTAGGGACAAGGCAAACTTTCGTATGTCATATAGGCATTTGGCTGATCATTGCTGGGTTCTACTCTTTTTTTACCTGTTTACAGACATGGGATTGGATGTCTGAAAGTAAAGAGGAAAAAACAGAATGTTAGTAGAAGAATCTGGTTTAATTTGGAACTCTGACATGCTAAATGAGAAGTACATTTTCACAAAAAACTCGGACAATTTGTGTTCCAGGAAAGACTAGTCATTTTCCGGATCAGTCGCCCAAAAAAGAGAACAATCGTGGAGCACCAGAATGTGTGATAACCCTACTGGCAGCTAGCAGCTAACGGTACTAACTCCATAAACAGTTAAACAACAGCAACAGTGCCCATTGTCTAACTAGTAAATTTTTCAGAATAAAAACAAAGACATGAAATATAAGAGGCTTTTCCTTTTAGTCCGGCGCGCCATTGACTCATTGAGCTTTAGCGCTGCTTTTCAAAGTGCTATCCATTTAGAGGTGTTGAAAATTTAATGTTTTGTGATGTAAGTCTCGCCTTTTATTTTACTTTCTGTTGGCTTTGCTGACAGGCAGTCGGCTAGCTACATTAACAAGCTGAAACATAGTGCCCACTGCCCACCCTCTACTCTCCACTGGTTAGCTATTATTAGCCTTGGCTGCTCTGTACCGCACGCCACCAGGAGCAGGTGGGAGCTAGCTAGCGGAAACGCTTATTTGGCAGTTACTGCTGCTGTAGAGATATGGTGGCCACCCTCCAGTACCCCCAGGTAGTGAGTAAGCAGCTTCATTTTGAGCAGCAAAACCTGTTTAGTGTTGTTAACTATTTTAGCAACACCAGCTGCGCTTACACTGCTAACGGTGCTAACAGAGCTAACAACATAGCTAACAATGCTAGAGGGGGTTTGTGGCTCAAAATTCAGTGACACTGTTTGATTAGGACAGCGTTACTAGCAGGAATTGCTGAATGAGCAACGTTGCTAGCTAGCTCCCACCAAAAGTCGATGGTGTGCAGTGCAGTAAAATTAAGAGAAGCAAAATTACCCTAGCTATCTACCTAATTATCCATTGACATAGTGCTAACAGAGCTAATGGTGTTACGAGGGGGGAACTGGGGTGTGTGTGTGCAACACTTCCTCAACAATGCCTTCTTGACATCAGGGACTTCCTTCTCTGCTCAGGACGCCATTACTCCACTATATCTTTACGTAGCAGATAGAAGTTTGCTGCTATACTGACGCTCTGAATGTCCCATACAGAACCTTTAAACCGTTTACATGTAATAAATTGAGATGTTCTGTGTTTCAGATGGACATCGATGAAGGAATGTCTGAAGTCTTCTATTCAAAACTTCTTGAACTTGAGAAGGCAGTCAGGAGGAAACTGAGTGAGGAAAATGCTAAAAAGGAAGCTCATAAAAAGTACCTCAACGACATAGAGTAGAAGTCTGTCTTTTGTAAGGGACGCTTTTGCTCTTGGGAAATGGACCATGTGCAGTTTGTGATGATGAGCAATAAAAGTGCTCTTATCTTTTTCATTTATGCCAAATGTACCATTACACCATGTGTCTTTATTGTCTTTTCTACATAAGCACTCTGACTTAATGTACTTTGTAGTATCTTAATATTATAGATATATATTTTATCTCTTGAAGGGTGGATCATTCACAAACCTGCCCTAAAATGTAGTAAGACAAAAACACTTGTGTCTCATGAGTTGACCCTGCTGAATTTTTATACTGAGTCCCAATGAGATCAGTAACCAGCAGGAGTCTCATCCTTTGCTGCTTCCTTGTAACGTAGACGCCACCGCCTGCTGCATCTTCACCTGATATCTGTATCAGGTTTCCTCTACAACAGGCTTCTTACCTCACAAACTTTAATTAGCTGTTCGTGTATAGTCTTGTTTCCTGAAGCCATTGAATGCCACCCGCTGTCTTTTACCACAAATCATAAATTATGATGCACAGTTAGCTGAAAGAATTGGTGTGTTAACTGCAGAGGTCTGTAACAGATCAAACAAAGTGTATGAATAAATCAGATGTTTGACAAAGCACAATATAATACAGCTCATCCTTTTTACAACCTCTTATTCACAAGCTTTGTTTTACAGATATCCTCTCACTGAAATTTTACATGTAACTGTTTTGGGGTAGCAAAAAGCATCGCTAACTTTAAGTGCCAGGGAGTAACTAGTTGCATTTAATTAAATTACAAAATAAATGTAATTGTAATCGGTTACAGTTTCTGAGAAAAAATGTGATTAAATTACAGTTACTAATCAAAATGTTGGTGATTACAAAGGGTTACATCCAAATATATTCTTTTCGGTAAGACATTTATATATAGAGTATATCATTAATTCTGTTGCTTTGCATCTTTCCACCATGTAGGAATGTCTTCCTTTCACATCCTATGTTCAGAAATGTTCTGCTTTTTTGACCAGTTTAAAACATTTGTTAGGAAAGTAATCAATGCAATAAGTTACTTTGATGAAGTTATTAAAAATTTCTTTCTTTCTATTCTTTTATGAAACCCTGATTTCCCTTTCTTGGGGAAAGACTTTAGAAGCAGTCACTCACTTGACTCTAAAGGTCCCACTCTGGCAAAAAATATCCAACTGGATTAATAAAGTTCAGTCTTATCCTATAAAGAAAAGGGAAAGAAGAGAAGATGCACTTTAAAATATGCATCATAAGCCTCTTTAAAGCCATTTCAGAAAAAAACAGCAAAACAACTGAAACTTAATCAGGGAAATCTTCCAGGCTTTTAGTCAATGCTTTCATTCTAGCGTTTAATCTTGAGCGCAGCAGCGTTCTCGTATGAGTTATGATCACAAACATCCACGTGTGCCTCAGGCCCGAATATTTCTTTAAATCAATTTCATCCATGACTCTTAAGAAAAGCCTCAAGTTACATGAAAATGTGCCTGAATTTATCTTCAGCCAGCGTGACAGCTTTGCCTGTACAGAGGCCAGACTTGTCAGATATGTTACCAGCAGCTGTTCCCCAGCGTGCCCCCGCTGGCCCTCAACACAGCATTTGCTGCTTTTTATAAACTGACAAATCCCACTTAATCTCATGATATGTGTGTCTGTAGCATCAGCGTAGTCGCAGCTGCACACACAAGGTACTACTGAGTTTTTATTAGCGATAACTGTGTAGTATCCACGTAGAGCTTTTCATATTGGTGTATGAGTAGAAATGTGTCAACTTGGAATATTTATTTAAATACACACAAGCATATTATTCTCACATTAGGGACTGTTCTTTACTTATCACAGAAGGAGTGGGGGACTTTTTTAAAATTGTTTTTATTTTTTTATTTGGACCCATCCCAAAGCTACAAATATTTTCATTGAACCTCCCTAAGTGACTGGCCAAAAATGCATGACCCTCCTTCCATCATAAATTATTTATTAGATTTTTTAAACTTTGATGATTTAAAGTTAAAAATTTATCGTTTATTTTTGGACAAATTTTAAATTAGAAATAGAGTAAAATGATGTTATATTTTAATAAAATATTATTTTAAGATCTGATTTTTTTTTGTTTTTTTTTTCTGACAAAAGTGTTCATAACACATGATGTGTCCAACAACTGTCAGGAATGTGGAAACCCAATAAAAACATCTGAAACATCAATTTTTAAAAAAACTTGTCTTCCCAAAATAATTAAAAAAAAAATACATGCAAAATTTCTATGGCCCTCTCCTAAGCAAAAATAAAACATTGGTCCCTCCCCAGTGCTTAAAAAAATATTTTATGTGCTCCATTTTTGCACCACCTCCTCTCCCCTCATAAACACCGAACAGTCCCTTATTATGTCTCGTTCCGTACATCTTCATGTCCTCTTTACACAGTAGAAGCTGGTGTATGTGACACTATTGAAGGCTCTCCTTTCATGTGACTTCCTCACGGAAATTAAAGCCCGGATTATTCAGGGAGGACGTGAGAGCACATAGTTACATAATGTAAATAAAAACATTGCAGCCACCGTGCGCTCAGATTGGTGCGCGCCGCGCGATGTCCCGGATGCTGCTCGCACCGGAAGAGAAGGGGCAGCTCTCCCAGCCATCTTGTGGCAGCATCCAGCGAATTGTTCGCATCAAGCCTCGTAGAATCGGAGGTGAATCCCGCTGAAGGGGCGCCATCATGCCCGGACAACTGCAAGAAGGCTTCGGCTGCGTCGTAACCAACCGGTTCGACCAGTTATTGGACGACGAGTCCGACCCGTTTGAGATCCTGAAAGCTGCCGAAAACAAGAAGAAGGAGGGGGCCGCCGCTGGCTCCACCAAGACCGCGGCTCAAGCCGCCAAGCAGCCGAAGAAGGAGTCACAGAAGGACAGAAAGAACCCGCTGCTGGATAAGAAGGAAGAGTCCCAGGCTCCGGTCCCACTGAAGAAAGAAGGTACAAAAATCACCTCCTCTCTTGGTTATGTGCTGTGAATGTTTATTTCCATCTTTATCCTACCAACTGTCATGTGCATCTCCTGTTAGCTGCGTTAGCTGATGCTGCTCTGAAACACAGCGTGAGGTCAACCGGACACACTAAGGTTAGCTACGCACCAAGAGGTGTACCTATGAAGCAGCTCAGGTGAGCCCACTTGCGAGGTGCTGAGCAGAGCAGCGAGCCTGTGTCGCAGATGGTTTCCAGCAGGCAGCATCCTGTAGGAAGGTGTAGTGTAGGGTTACTGTCTGCTGCTGCTGCTGCTGCTGCTGCTGGAGGAGGAGGAGGATGCTTCATGCACTGGCTACGCAGCTCCGTTATGCGCAAAATTCACCTGCGTGCTGTGGGAAACTAGACACGGCTCTTTGTTTGGATTGGTGAGCATATGTTTTTAAGCTTTTAGATTTTAAAAATTGAGTTCACCAGCAGCTGCAGCTAGTTAATGGCGAGAGGGGCCCAGTGTTACCAGTGAGCAGTGAAACTAAGTGCAAGGTGCTGCTGTTAAAGCTGCTGACTGGAGCTTTGCATCACAGTCTGCACTTTACTGCACATCATCAACATCAACATGCACTAATAACCACACTAAGGAGGTGTTACACAAACGGATATGAGGTTTGACTCCATGTGTGTGCTCCTCTCCTTGTCAGGTATCAGGCGAGTGGGCCGACGACCAGACCAGCAGGGCCAGCCTGGTTCCCAGCATCAGGGTGGGCAGGGCGAAGGGCGACTTGGAGACAAGAGGCCTGACCGGAGACCTCCCCGCGAGCGCCGCTTCGAGAAGCCGGCCGAAGACAAGCCCGAGGGAGGTGGAGAGTTCTCCGCAGACAAGTGGGTAGCTGTGGTAACTGACGAAGAGCATATTTAAACATGCTGATAAGCTCAAGGCTGTCTGGTGCCATCACAGGATGGTTGTGGGGGTGTATGCATGGAAGATTAGGATTTGATATTATAGTAGCTCACTTACCTCAGTATCACTACACAGCCTTGTGTAGATGTGTTTGTGAAACTTTGTACTGTCACTGACATTAGAAACGGATATGCATGTGTGTCACATGAGCTTGTAAAGATGAGATAAGTGCTGATCACGCCTCGGCTGAGAAATTTTGGGCTGATGCAACTGTTGTTTTTTTTTGTTGTCGTTTGTTTTGTTTTTGTTATTTATCCCCCCTTTGTGCCAGGGAAACAAAGAAATCTTAGTGATAGAAAACAACTGTTATATAATTCAGCCTTTCATTACACACTCTTTGAATGGGCACAAATTCAACCATGCACATTTATGAAACAACTTTAAATATGACCTTTAACACGAAAAACGTATTTTAATTTATTACATTTGAACACATCGTGCTATCATTGTAATTTATCTTCCTCTGTGACTCATTTTTACTGAATAGAGCTTGAACGCATCATGTTAAAACTCAGTAAAGCCTCCGTTAGCTGTTACTTCCGGCCACTGGCTGCTAGCAGCTAACGTTAACTAGCTCCTGCCGACTTATTTTTTATTTTTTATTTAATTATTATTTATAATTTTCAACTCTTGGCCTTAGTTGGGCTTTTATAGTTTTTTTATAGACATAGAATGTTATTAGAAATATACAGTTTAAAACATCATAAAACTCCTGTACACTATAAACACAATACACATCCCACTTTACACGTACCACAATACACTTAAACACTTACACTAATACACCTTAAATACCCCGTAAAAGTGCACATAGCTGAACGGAATTGATGTTTACAATGAAGTGTTATTGTCTGTGGGACGATGTTAGTCTCGAGCCTTGCTTTTAGCGTGCAAAATTGACATGACACAACAGGAAAACATCGGCCACTGCCATTGGTGAATGCCATCTTATTTGCCAATAGGTGATGGCAGTCAACAGGGTGAATATCATCCGATACCCAACTGATAAGGTCGTCCTAACACTTTTTAAAATAATATTTTGGTGTGTGTTTCTGTCCGTCAGGCCTTCTGGAGACAGGCCCCCGAGAGGGCGTGGTGGCGGCCGGGGTGGGCGTGGTGGAAGAGGACGGGGCATGGGCAGAGGAGAAGGCTTTGACTCCCGCGGGAAACGAGACTTCGACAGACACAGCGGCAGTGACAAATCGTGAGTCACACCTCGACTGAGACCTCAGCAGACCAGCGAATGTATAAATAGAAATGAGCACTCACCAAAGCATCCCATTGTTGAATCTTTATTTATTATCAAGAGGCACCTTCTCGAGCTCTTTAACTGCCAAAGGATGCCAGAACCAGGCGTCAGTGTTTGTGTTTGTTTGTAACCAAAGCCAGACTGACCTAAAAAAAAAAATCAATCAGCAGTTATACTGTATACAGTTATACTTGACACTGAATAACAGTCTGACCCAATGACATCTCTAGAAAGTGCTTCCTAATGACATCTCAGTTAAGCTGCTTTTGACCCGAGGTCATGGGTTGTTGTTGTTGTTGGGTGTAGAATTACTGTTCATTGTGGGCTGTAAGTATTTTTAGGCTGCGCACATAAGTGTGTTTATGTGTGTGTTTTCCTTTCTGTTTGCTCCAGCAATCAGAAAACTGAGGAGAAGCGCAGTGGCAGCGGCTCGCACAACTGGGGCACCGTGAAG